GGTTGGAAAAGTGGGGGTCGTCTTGTACATGGGGGCATCTTATTGTTGGAAAAATACGGTATATCCCAAATTATTTTTAACACCATATTCTTCCACTTTATTGCATATTATGATAATTATATTTTTCAATTTTTCAAACATGGATGGACTGAAAAGACTGATTAGCTTGAGGGTCTTTTCATACATCAAGAGTAATAGCTCATAATTTGCTATGTGAAGAGTTTAAACTGCTTCCAGATTTCACAGACAGAATTTCCACTCCAGGATCAACTGCATCCGCGTGAGTGCCATAATATATGAAGCATCCTTCAGCCTGATAGTAAGACTAGTTCTGATTCTTCAAATAATAGAAAGATCATTTTCTAACCTGACTGAAACTGGTTTCCTGCACACTTTTCATCATGATGTGTCCTGTAGGTCTTGTGTTATATGAAAAAAGAAACACAAAAGAGACATAAAAACTTCTGACCTAATGGCCAGATAAAGACCTGCCATAACATACCAAGCTTGGTTAGTATTAACTTTGTTTAGTTTTTTTTAATGGCTTAGCAAGACATCTCCATCCTTGCCCACAGTGTATCATAAGGTTAATTTAGTAACCAGTTTAAATGTACTGTATGAACTCAGCCAATTGATGTAATTTAAGACTTTGGAAACAGCTAGTTGTTAATAAGAAGATGGCAAACAATTGTACAAAGCAAAAATCATACCTGTTTGTTGCTATCATTGCTGCAACACAGTTTTTTGATAGACACAAAATGTCGAATTTTTCTATGAATATAAAAAAATCCACTATTATTAAATGCAATATTTATTGGTGATTAATTAGTTGCCTTCTTTTATAAAGCAAAAAAATCTAGATCCAATTAGTTTATTTCAATGCTATATCTATTACTAATGGCAGTTATTGAGGTCATCCTATAAAATACTCATAAATTATAATTGGCACAGGTTAATATTGGTGTGGGATAAATGATTTTAACAAAACTCTGTGTAACTCTGTGCAACTGTGTAACTCTGTGCAACTGAGACTTCCAACATCTCAGTGTATGAGATAAATGATATTTAATTTGTGTAAAGTTTGTAACATGCCTGAGATAATCAAATCCTTAACTTCCACCCAACTGCTATTTTAACAAAAGGCATTGGACATTCCAGTCATGGAATTCCTTTGCATTGTCAAGTTTAATCTTTTGTAAATTCACAGATGAGCAGAGACTAGAATTCACAGTGATCACATTTCACCATAGTACTGGGAATTTTAAGTATTTTCAGGCCAGTATTCTTGTCATTCTTTTTGCTTTTTTTTCTCAGAAATTTTTGTTCTTATATACTAACTACATCCTCCTATATATTCAATGCTATTTGCCAAAACTGGATGGAAATGAGTGAGGCTTGAGATTTAATTTTGCAGTTAATGGATTTTGAGGTAAAGAAAGAGCAACATTTAATTGTTTTCTACAGGAAATAAGAAGACAAAATTAACAAGCTACATCATGGATGGCAATATTTGTTAGCTGGGTTCTCTTGCAACTTAGTCTGTCAGCCTTTTGAAGAGCCACAGGAGGCCACCTAGCAAGAGGTGAAGCAGAAGGAGCAGGGTTAAATAGTTTCAGCCCCTTTGGGAGATGGGTTATAAGGGTGGAGAGGGTGGTAGGAGCCCCCTATAAGTAAACTGTTCTGATTTCCACTTTAAATGAGTGAGTGAATGAGTGAGTGAGTGAATGAATGAATGAATGAATGAATGAATGAATGAATATTACCCAGATTTAGTTATTTTTGTCAACTTAAGAATGCTAGGAGGCAGAAAGGACATCCTGGGGTTCCAAATACAACTTACAGGACATGTGTTACCTATCCCTGAGCTGGGTTTAAAAAATGAGAAAGCGTGTCAACTGAGCCAGATTCTAGGGGCAACCTTATCACCTATAAATGTGATAAAGAAATAAACCTGGTACACGTCACTTGTTAATGCACTTTTTCATTAACACACTTACCCTCCTTGGCCTGTCACAGGTGTTATCTTCACATGCTGTTGGATACTATCACCTGATTTCCTTCTTGCGTAATAAACTCCTTGCCATTCCTAAACAATTCAGGTGAAACCAACAGTCAAGGACATACCCAATCTGCCTTATTAAAAATAATAAAGACTGCTGCAGTCTTTCCCTATGTGGGATCCTCCAAGTTGCCATCCAGTCAGGTAGCTTTCTGATGCTTTCATGCAGCATGCCATACTCACATATTGTACCGTACAGAGAACCATAGAGATATAAGGGGCCATTGACCACACTGAGTCCAACCTTGTGATCTGAGTAGGAATCCAAGTTAAAGCATCCATGGCAAATCACTGTCCAAGCTCTGCCTAACCCTCTCCAGTAAAGACGAATCCATATCACAGTGATTTTTCCTATTCCTATTGTAATCAATTAATCCCATTAAAGAATGCAAAAAGCAAAGAGTACTTATCACCTACTTTTCCCCTTTTGATGCATGTGTTGATTGTATCCAACAGGTCTGCATGGTTTTTGTCACTTTTTGGAAGCTCTGTAAGCTCCTTCCCTATTAACTCTCCTTTCTGATAGCCCATCATCTGTTCAAAGGCTGGGTTAACATACTGTAAAAAAATAAAAATAAAAATGAGCAAGTACTGTAGTTACAAAGCAACTTTTGTAAAACTTACAAAGCAAATTTTGATAAATTTCATATCCTGTTTGCACATTCCCAGCAACTACTTAAGTAGGAAGGCTACCTACTCTATGTATTCGTTCGGTGCAAATGCACCAATAGAAAATGGTTCAAAAATAAGATACAAAAGCTCCATATGCTACCTCCCCATACAAATAATAAATACACCGAATACATACCTATATGTATATACTACAGGCACAAGTGGTGATTCTTTCCTTTAATAGTTTAAAGGGACATTGATAAATACATTTTCCAAGGAAAGTTCTGCTTTTTTTCCATACCTGAATGACATGATCTTCACTAGTTATTTCTATAGCTTCATGACAGTGTTCTAGTGCAGTGAATACTGAATTACAAGCCCTGTAAGTAATCAATAAGTAGAGACTGTTATAATCTATGACTGAACAATTCAGAATGCTATAACTGCTTGGTTCCTAGGCAGATTCATGGAAATACTGTATGTCACCTTCCTGTAAAAATATACTTCTTTTTAGAAGATATTAGTTTATTATTAAACTATGCAACATTAATGTCAACGTATGAATGATATACTATACATTACTATTGTAGTAATATAGAGAGATCCTACTTCCAAAATAAAATTACAACTGCTACGTATTTGAGGGGAGGAAAGAAATCTGAAGGACATGGACTCAACACAATTTTTCAGGATGTTTCCTCAGACATGTTAAATATGCATGGATCTATTTATTTATGTCACTGTTTGCATCTTGCATGAGGATGGAGATCCAGTCTACCTTCCCCAACAGATGCAACTCAACACAAAGTAGCACTTTGTGGGGAAAATGTTCTGACTAGGAAAGTTTAGGGTTCCACATAGTAAAGCAGGAGGAAGCAGCCCACAACCCACAAGTTGCAGGTAACCTAAGCCTCTTTATGTGTCCTCCTGAAGTTGTTCTACCAACATTTGGTGTTGATCACAGAGGCAAATCTTTCTATTACTTTCCAAACAAAACAGATTTAAAAAGATATGCAAACTTCTGGATAGGCTTAACACACCAAAAACAAAAAGATAAAGCCATAACAAAACTCAAGCCATCTAAGGGCATAAAAAAAGCTTTCCCAACCATTCTCTGCAACATTAATGTAGTGTCTTTGGAGTTGTTGGTCATTTTTAAAAGGTAGTTCTGGCCATTAAGGAATTGGCTGATCTGGAGATAAAGAGTGCATTGGCATGGAAGTACCATAATATAGATGAGTCTGAGAGACTCTTGGATGCAGAGAAAATTCTTAATGCAAAATCTATCTCATATGTTATTCCTGAAAGACAATGAATTAGATACGTGAGCTTAAAATTTTTTCAACTATGTTTACTTGGGTGATGAGAAACCTATAATTCAAGATCAGAAAAGCTATTTTTGATACATAAATAGCCAGCATCAGTGATACAAACACCTGAACAGAGTTATCTCAGTATAATACTAGGAGTCTGCTCCTTGCACTAACCCAGGAGATAAATGGTAACAGATATGCTTACATACCGTAGTTTGAACTGTGATCGCACCTCCCCATGTTCTATTTGAATCAGTTCATTGTAACAAGCAATGATGCTGCTATTCTCCAAAAATCTCTGGCAGGGGAAAAAACCCAGAAAGTAGATGTTACTGGTTATATTAATTTACTTCTACAATAATTAATCTACTGATGGGTTAACCAATGAATACTTTTAGCTTGCAAAACCCCAAATTGGAGGGAATACAACTCTGGAATACAAACAAGATAGAGAAAGCGTGTAGAGCAGTGTTTCTCAACCTTGGCAGCTTGAAGATGTGTGGACTTCAGCTCCCAGAATTCCCCAGCCAGCATTTTTAATCTTTTAATTTAAAGTATTTTTTAAAACGGTGGAGCAAGAAGTGTGGAAGCATCATGTTGTCTATCCTGTGCTCTAATAAGGGAGGCCAGGAACCTGATACTATCTAATTTTATTGATTTTACAACTCTTAGAATTACAATCTGTCACACTGGCTTGCAATTCTGGAAGTAATGTTTCCATTTAGGTAAGATGGTTACCAGATTGGGAAAGCTAGACTTCTCTCAGTATAGTACAAAATACTAATAAACATCTTCAAGGAAATAATAATTACCAAGGGAGAACAAACTGTCTTTGCTATATTAGAAACTTGAATAACTATAAGTTATTGCATGTACCCATCTTCTTTATTTATAAAATAATAAGCTGCCAGTGTAAGGTGTATGTATATGTGTATGTATGTGTGCCTCCAAGTCAGTGCTGATTCCTGGTGACTTCCTGGGCTAGTCCCTGCAGTTTTCTTGGCAAGATTTTGGAAGTGGTTTGCCATTGCTTGCTTCCTAGGGCTGAGAGAGAGTGACTGGCCCAAAGTCACCCAACTGGCTTTGTGCCTAAGGCAGGACTAGAACTCATGCTCTCCTGGCTTCTAGCCTGGTGCCTTAACCACTACACCAACCTGGTTGTAAGGTACAGTAAGTGTATAACAGTTTAATTAGGAAAAACCCAGTGAGGCATTTCCTAACAGAAATTAGTAATTTGCACATAACAAGGATGTTTACTAATACAGAATATCTGTCCAACAACTCAATTGATAGGAAACTTCAAATAAGCACTCTTTTGATTAACACATGAAATAATAAAAAAAGCTGTGTTGCAAATCTCAGGCGTAGAGTAATGCATGAAAACTACAGTTTTAAGAGACTTCAAACATCATTGACATTCCTGAGTAGCAACAGGGAATAAAGACAAAACAAATAAATAAATAAATCATAGCCAAAATAATTATGGTTTCCAAGATTCCATTTTGTGCCCATTGATGATAATGGATTTTTGCCAGTGGAACTGCTAGTTGTAGTAATATACAACTGAAAAAAGAAGGCCTCTTTTAAGAGGACACACGACTTTGATGGCAATCTCAATGGATGCCTCTTTTTGATGTTACTTACCCTAAATAAGAACAAACAGTCCCGAGGTCAACCTACAAACCTTTGAAGAAATTTCAAAGGCATACTGTGAAAGAAATATAACATTAAAAGCATGCCACATGTTCTTCTTTCTTTTTTGTCTTGGAAAAATATCAATGTTCATGTCATAACTGTAGCCTCCTCCAAACTACTCTATATAATACGCACGTACAAATGACAGTTGCACCTCAGGAACAGTATTGTTTGAAAGTAAGCAACATCATCATTAATAGAAATCACTTTTATGTGGATATGCTTTGAACCTGTTGGACTGGCAACAAGTACTCATGCCTTTGTTACATCACAGTTTGGTCTAGTGGTTAAGGCTCCAGGCTAGAAACCAGGAGACTGTGAGTCCTAGTCCCACCTTAGGCATGAAAGCCAGCTGGGTGACTTTGGGCCAGTCCCTCTCTCTCAGCCCAGTTCACCTCACAGAGTTGTTGTGGGGAAAATAGGAGGAGGAAGGAGTATTAGGTATGTTCGCCACCGTGAGTTATTTATGAATATAATAAAGGCAGGATAAATAATCTAAAACAAAACAAAAACACCAAAACATCACAACTGGACTACTGTAATGTGCTCTTGGTAAAGACACTCTTAAAATATGTCTGGAAGGTTGGCAGCTGAAAAATATGGCAGTTAGGCTACTAACTATGTCTAATTCTGGGCCATGCCCATGATGAAAACTCTGCACTGGCTGCAAGTTGTTTTCCAAGCACAATTTCAGGATTTGTGTTAACCTTGAATGTCCAGTACAGCTCGCAATGTAATTATCTGAAGGACTATTTCTCATAGCCTGGATGCTAAAATCTTCAGGAGGTGCATTTTAAAATAAGGTAATGCTTTCAGTGGCCTAATTGTCAAGTACACTTGAAAGGTTATACTTCAGCTGATGAGAACGGGCAAGGTTTTATTAGGTCAAAGAAAGGAGACATTGCAGCAGAAACTGGAACTGGAAACAACTTTCCACAAGAAAAATAATCAAAAAGAAAAGGAAGCCCAACAACCTGAAGTAAGAGGCATGGAAGGTAACCACCTTTGGAACTCAGAAACAGTTTTCAGGCCTGTGCAAATGAAACAGCCTATGAGCGTTTAGAGGAAGAAAAAGAGATAATGCCAAATGGGAGCAGGATGGTGGATCCCTAAAATGCAGAGAATGCAAGTGTGCTCTCTAAGAATAAAAAGAGAAGGGCTGTGGTAGTTGGTGACTCATGTACTACGAGTAATCAAAACAAATGGCTCCAAGCTGACCCAACCCATGGCTCATGAAATGTATTGTCTCCCAAGAACAAGGATCACAGAACTTATAAGACTTATTTATTTATTCGTTAAATTTATATGGCTGCCCATCTCACTTGCATGCAACTTTGGGTGGCAGACAAACTTAAAACACAACTAACAATCATAACCTTCCACCATTAAAATTAATTAAAAACAATTAAAAGCTACATTTAAAAAATACAGCAACAAAAACACAGAGCAGAATGCCGTCTATATACAGTGTAACCGTTTAACAAGTCCACTGGCAATTTCCCTTCCTATTAAAATATAAGGAGATAAATGATAATCAGAAGGAATCTCAAGACCCCGTAGGTCAGGCGAGATTCTCATCCATTCTTCTGCTCTCTGGAAGAGGACAGGAAATAGAAATAAAAATACGGCAAGTGAAAGTTTGGGTATGCAAAGTGTATCAATGGAAGAGATTTCATTTCTGGGACTATGGTTGGAGTTAGCTAGGTGATCTGCTGCTGGCATGAAATGGGTTGTACTTCATAAGAACAAATAAAATTGTGTTTGCCAAAACAAGGTAAGCTTGATTAGGATTGAAACAAAACCTTGAAATAAGGACTTCTGATAAATATTTGTATACTGTAGAACGTGGGAGTGTTTGTGAAATTGAGCTTTTAAAACCATTTGGTGGAAAAAAATAAAAAGGATGTTGACCTATAAAGTTCATTGGCCCATACAGTACATAGCTTTTATGAGCTTGAGCTCATTTTGTTTATTTCCCATACTAAACTAAACTGAAATTCAGAGTATGGGAAATAAACAAGATGAGCTTGAATTCTCCATACAGAAACACAATATGATTTATTAGGTGTAATGGAGATCTAGTGGGATGATTACCATTGTTGAAATACAGCAACCAAAGGATACAGTATGTTCAAAAGTAAAATAATTAGAAAACATGAAGTTGTATTGTATGTTAAAAATATCTATGCCTGCTTAGAAATCCAAATGAATGAACTTGGCAATGTTGTAGAGATCAGCCGGGTTAATATAAGTGGAGGAACAAATAAAAACAATACGGTCTTTAGTGTCTACTATACCTCACTCATCCAAGGAAAGATGTAGATATTTTCCAAAAGCAAACTGCATTTTCAATATTTATTTATTTATTTAAAGCATTTATATGATTGCCCAACTCAGGCAACATGACTCTAATATGTACAGAAGAAATCAACAAACTAAAAATACAAAAAACAAAACAAAACACCCCCCATAGTGTTAAAAATCAACTAAGACAATAAAATGGTAATCAGAACTAAAATATACTATAATTGGGAACTCTGCTTATTCTGACCCAAGCACCCAGGGAAAATGGATGAAGTTTTAATGATGGTGGACATGAATCATACTGATATATCTTGGGAGAGCAACTTTGCCAAACATGGTCCTTCCAAGGAAGTTTCTGACTTATCTTGTGGACATCTTTCTCCTTCAGAGAGAAGAGGAAGGTACAAAAGAATCAGCAATACTTATTTTATACCAACCAATAGGGAAGACTTAGTTAAGAAAATGGAAGTACTAGATACATAGAGGAAAAGTGACCATATAATGCTGGGTTTCTTGATTGTTAAGAAAAAATATGTACCTTGATAGGCTCTTGGTAGCTGAAAGCAAGATGTCCAGTGAGTCCTTTTTTAACAAGGTTTATTGAAAATGTGAGAGATGATGTTTACAGAAAGTTCAAAACTGGATTGCTTTCATTTTAGAACCAAATTTATCTTTCAGTTCATTAGGGTAGACACTTCAATTTCTTTCTATTGCCCCTTCTCTGAACCAGGGGTAGGAGTGAGAAGCTACTTTCCTGTTTCTCAGACAGCTGAAGAATGTCTTTCCCAACTATCTCTTGAATCCTTATCAGGCTGGAAACATACCATTATGTACCTTCTCCATCTGCCCTTTTCAAATATCTTCTTGGGTAGAAACACTGAAAGTCTAGGTTTGCATCTTAATACAACTCTGGCCCTGATAATTTGCATGTTTGAAGACTTTCTATTCCTTGATCTAACCATGGAAGCCAGTACAGACACACCTCCACATTCAGGCACATTTTCTGTCCTTCTCCCATATTTTCTTCTAGCTTTCTTGCCTGATCAAAGTTCTTGAAATTTGAAAGCCTGTAGAAATTAGTACACATCAGCTGACCTAGTAAAGGTCCCCTATGGATGTTTTCTTTAGGCCAGCTTGGTATTACTTTACAGTTTTATCTGTTTGCAAGTTGCAAGTTGTCTTACCAAAGCAATATTAATTTATTGTGCACATGTAAAAAAGGACATCAGAAGTATCCATATTGATGCACATTGTAGGATTAGATAACAAAAATACTGTTTTGAAAGGATAATATTTACATATGTATTTTCATTAGTCACTAAATGTGATACTTTTAATTTACTTTTCTATTTATTATGTAGTTATGAACATTACTATAAAGAATTATGTTTGGAAGGAAAGAAGGATATTTATCAGATAGAGAGGGAAGGAGGGAGCGGGATCAAAAGCTCAGTCTCTCAGTTTTTCCCCCCTTGAACAAACAACAGTTCAGGTTAACCACTGAAGCATAGAAAGTGCCTCTGCTACCTACTTAATAATTATGTTAAAGTCTATTCTTTGTTATGCTCATCTTTTTTCTGTAGCTTATGAAATATAATGCACAGGCTAATGATGGCAGGGGACTTTGTCTGAACAAGTTAGTTATTGTCGTTCAGGCTCAGATGGCAAGTGTGCAAATATGTAAGAAAGATAAGAAAAAAATCTGAGTTGGACAGGTTATATGACTCATGCCAGTGGAGGATGAAGATATAAATTAGAGATGGTTCCTAGCAGTGGTAGGCAACCTTTTGGGTTCAGTGGACACACTTGGGATGTTGGGAGCATATACACATTTTCACAAAATGTTTAGGTGGGATGGCCAGCCACAAAATATCACTTTGCTACATGCAATTGTTTCTTCATCTTAGTTGTCTGACCCCTTTTACCCCTGCCTATGGGATATCTATGATCCAAAAACATTGATGCTAGAGATTGGGGGTTTTCTTTTACAGCAGGCCAACTTCCTTTTTTATTTAACAAAATAATATTTTTAAAGTCAATTGAGGTTCTGGTAGGCACCGTGTTGTCTAGCCCTGCTTCATATGAGCCTAGATCTATAACACAGCATTGTGGTTACAGAGTTTTAGTATTTATAATGCTCCCATTCACGATGAAAGCCCCTCAATATATATACATGCTACCATCACAATTGTTTTTCTTCTCTCTCTCTCTTGGGTTGTCCTATAGGCCTTTATAACATCTACTGTTATGTTATATAAATATCTCTGGTGAACAAATATGGCTGGTAGCTGGAGAAAATGCTTCCTGCTGAAGTATTCCAGAAAAAACAATTTAGAGACAGAAACAGAGGTGTCTATAATGAGACATAAGTCTCATCAGAGTAGTTTGCATGCATAGGTGTGTGAGGAGAGAGATCAACAGATGTATCAGTGACTATAGTTTTAGATTACATCATAATAAGCCCAATAAATCCAATATTTTTGCAGGACCATATGTTATGTTACAATAACAAGAAGACACATATAGCAAGGGGGTATGATAAAAAGAAAAATCAACAAATATCACAGGGTCACAATTTAATATATCATAAAATGTAAGAAACAGAAGAAAATGGGACTAAAATGAGAAGGGAGACTGATTTTTAAAAAATTAACATCCATTAAGTAAAGACTATCTAAAACATTTTAAAAAAAACCAGCAGAATATAGGCTTAATGGAACAAACCTCACCTATCAAGATGTTCCAAAAACACAGAACTAACTAAAAGAGTACATCTTCAGGAAAGAAATCTGGCAAGAAATCTGAGGTTTAAACCATTTATAGCACACATATTTTTACATATTTCCTTCCTTCCCTCCCTCCCTCCTTTCTCTCTCTCTCTCTCTCTTTCTTTCTTTCTCTTTCTTTCATCTTTCTGAAACCTGCTTCTCTTATCCAGCAAGCTGTTAGAAAAGGCACTGAGCTTCCTCCCTAAGCCTTCTCCACCCAGCCCTATTTTCTGTTTTCATAGTGATTCTGAAGGCAAAATGCCAACCAATTCCTTGGTTCTTTTCCAATCAGCATTGGCTACACTGCACCAGCAAGTACAAGCTTCAGGCGGTTATAGATGTTTTATGTGATACTATTAGAGAACCCTATTTTCAAACTGAAAAGAGTTTTCTTGGCATCTGTCACAGGAAATCATGTCCAGGCTTGTAGAAATGCATTTGTCAGTATCTTTTAATTCCTTAGACCTAGCCAGCAATAGTATGTCTATAACTTGCTGTTTATTTATGAATTAAAATGTGGAGGAGCTGAAGGAGTCACAACTATTATGTGATATATATAACATGGATGACAGCATGAACAATTAAACAGAAAAAATAAGACATGAAGATTGATAGATAATTGTTCATAGCCTAAAAAAGTTAGAATAACTTTAACATACCCTATTAAATCCTGCATGGAGAAGTGGGAGAACAGACGCTTCTTCTTGACCAGCAGATCTACAGAAATGCAAAATATATTTTCACTCAATAGACTTAATTATGGAGAAAATCTATGTGGTCGCTAAGAGTTGACACCAACGTGATGGTATAGAATCAGTCGTTCAAGAGACTTGAAAATTCTCTTTTTGTGGCTGTTCTTTTTTGGGTTAAGGCCTCCATGGACTACAGAAGGAATGGCAGAAATGTAGCAACGTCTTCAGAGGGAGCAAAGCTGAAATGCTTGACCTTTCTTTTCTTGAATTTTTAATCAAAATAGGTGTGTCAGACCTTTGGGTTTTTTTTAAAAAATAAAAGTCACATGAAAAATCATAAATTTGCTGCCAAATTTTGCAAGGATCATTCTGAGAGGCTCTGGAGGCCACAGATAAAATGGAGGCAGAGAGATGCGTGTGGCCTGTGGGCAGCTTATTCATGTTGAATTCACAAATAATAAGTCATGAAGAATATATTTACTGTTGTTCTTTCAGCTTTTCAACTATTATGAGTATTCTAG